GACTCTGTGTGTCAATGTGCTGATCAGAGTCAGACAAACTGCTGCGTAAACTAACGTTGAGGAAGCACTGAAAGGCTGCCAGAGCACAACGAAGCTCCGTTAATGACGGCGAGGAGACTCTCCACACTGTCAGACACTTCACAAGAGGAGCTTCTCTTGCAACATGCAACTCATTAACTGTGACACCCATCCAGCGCAGAATCAGGAAGCTGGTGCCGGCTACTCTTTGAAATCGCAAAATTAATTCCTGGTTCGTCGCTGATGATGCGCGCTGGAGAGGGGAGGCAACAAGCTTCACTTTACGGATCTCCCCAATTAGATGATGAGAGAGATAAAGGGCTATTCAGCAGGACTGGAAGCCTCATTTCCATCTCCTGTTTGTGCTCCATCTGCATTCCTCGCAATTAATTTATGCTAATCTCCATCCACAGACAAACTACGTTTCCCCCCGCTGCTGCAAGGTCAACCACACAGAGAGGCTGCACCACTTATTAACCCTCCTCCTCAAGCTGCACTGGAAAAACGAACAAACAGTGAGGATGAGGAGCGAGGCAGAAAGTTGACCTAAAAATTCAGCTTGCCTCCTGAGGGCTGAGGGAGTACAAGTGGGTGCAAACAGGAAAGTGTGCTATTTTTCTGATTTCACAAGGAAAACTGCTCCTTCTCTCACCGTAAACACACAGACGTGACTGTTTCATCACCTCTGGATGCCGCTGCTGGGATCTAAATGCTGATACACGGTTGGATGACATGTATTAAAACTGGACATGTTTATGTGGGGCCACATTGTTTTAATGATAATTACTGTGCAATGTTTCCATCAATAGAAACAGCATTTGCACGTCTCTGCCTCCTTTCTGGCTTACACCAAAAGAAACTCTCACATCACTCCAGTTCTGGCTTCTCTTCACATGTTTCCTGTTTGTTTTAGAAGTGATCTTAACATTTAAATGATCACTTTGTGGCTCTGTGCTACACAGCAGAAATGTTGACTCCATGTGATCCTCACGTGAAGCTCTGGAGTGACGAGATAAGACTCCCAGAATCACTCACTTCTTTAAATCATTCTTCCTAAAACCAATTTTTGTAGACCTGCTGCCTCCAATGAAGACGATTTCAAATTTGTCTTTAATTAATTTGGTGCAACAACTTCTTATCAGAGCACCAAAACTCTATGAATCAGGAAACAAACAGGTGAATCATCAACAGAGTCAGCAAGCTGGAGACACTTCAGTTGGGTTTTAGCTTGATTTTAGATTTTAGAGAAGTCAGATTCTGGTCGTCAGCTTTGACCGAATGTAAAGTTTGTGTGTTTGGGTTTTGCAGGACGGTGAATATCTGTTAAAAAAGAGTTTCTGACGTGCAAAAACATAGCTGAAACTGCACCCATTTCAAATATAAATGTAAAGCAACAAGGGCATCACTATGGTTTTACCTTTCTGGTGTTTCCTACCAAAGGACAAGAGATAATCTACAAGAAATACAACTGTTCTACTATAATAGATTTATATTGTGTAACATTTTACTTTTTCTTTTCTTGCATTATCTAGTAATTATCTTTTATCAGTGATTTACATCCTTGACCTTACCTTGTCTCTTATTCTTTCTTTTTCAGTTGTGTTGTGTCAGTGTGTGTTTAATCTATTTTAAAACCCTGTGTGTTGTTAATTGTTTTACACTTTAAACTACATTCGATTAGTTTCCAGCTGCTAAAACACTGCTGTTGACAGAATTTCCGGCCGCTTTGTTGCATCACTTGATCTTAAGTCAAGTATCAGCACTCAAGTATCCAAATGAGGCTCCATAGTATAAAGTGAAGTCATTATTAAGTGTCTGATTTTCTTGAATTAAGCAAAACTCTGACACTCAGTCAGTCGGTACTATTTCTAACATATGAAGTGCAGCACACAGAGAAGGTTCTGCTTTACCACACTTGTGTGTACAGTTTTTTCTGTGAGTGTTAATGCCTGAAAATATGTCTGTTTGATTCGTCTGTGTGTTTGGTAGTCTAAAAGTCAGAAAATGTTAAAGACAGGACAGAAACAGAAACAGACACATTGTAGTTAAAACAACATGCTACATCTAAAAGTGAAAGACAAAAACGTGTGAAGAACTTTAGCAGTGACCACTCAAAGAAAAGGAGTGAACTAATGGAAGGAAAGGAAGAAAATGGACGTGGCACAACGTATGAAGTTAGATCGAAGGGAGCAGACCAATACCTTTCTTCCTTGCTGCAGTTAGCGTTTGTGATATCCAAGCTTTTACTGAAAACAGATTTGCTAAAAGGGGGGCAGACAGAAAATCAAGAGACAGACAGAAAGGCAGTCACATAAGGGGAATCCTAACATCCAGCATGCATCAGAAAACAAACTAAACTTAGCACTGTAAAAAATGACAAAAATAAATCACAATGAGACAAAAAAAATAAAATACCAAGAACTCATGCACAGATCAAAATAAAATCAGGGATTAAAAAAACCAAGAGGAAAAAACACATTCATGGATCATGCTGGAGTCAGTGGGACATTCAACACGCTGCCTCGCCGTACAGAAACAATTTGTGTATGTTTTCATCGGTGCGACATGTTTACACAGTGGAACGTTCTGCTTCATTGTCTCTGCTGAATCATCATCAGCGAGGAGAAAAACCTCGGGAATAAAAAAAAAAGCAAGACAGCAGCTGAACAGGCTTTTGTGGCTGCTACACCTGCTGCACTGCAACAAATCAGGTAATTAGTGCTGCGTGAAGCTGATCTACACACTGTCAGAGCTGGAAAATACCCACGTACATAGCAGGATGTACACTTTAATGGTAGCAACGGCATTACTACAACATTATCAATACATCAGTAAAAAATATGAATGCTCTACTTCACATGAGGTCCATTCCACAAGAGGACGGTCAGGTTTCTGTCTTTTATATTCTAACAACATTTAAAGGGCACAGCAATATCTATTTGTATGTTTGATTTCTTACAGTCATGTAAATTTGCAATCTTTGTCTAAAATCAGGCGCACTCTGGGTCAACTTTTGCTGTTTCAGAATGTGCTAAAAATAAAGTTGATTTTACATCATAAGTCTTTTATATACAGTCTATTATCTGTGGAATGTGGAAACTACATTCAAAAAGTCTTGATCTTGATTACTGGAAGGATTTTTATACACACAGAAAATCCTGGAAGATCACCAGGATCTTGAATTGAAGGTGTACAACACAACAGATTGGGGCTTTTCCAGTACAGAGATGCTAACAACAAGGCTGGTTAGCATGTTAGCATTTAGCTCTGTGAGTAAATACTCCTGAAAGTCGTGTGAACTCATTTTGTGTTGTCGCCTTCTGGTGTTACTTAATCTTTATTCTCAGTGTTTAGTACTATTATTATTAATATTACATGACCTCAATACACTTCAAACATATTGATTTTTGTTGTTCTTTTTTTGGTGGATGACTCACCAAGAAAGCACTTAATTCATTTAAAAATATTACTATAATAATGCTATTAAAAAGTCTTGAATTGTAATGTTTTCTGCCACAAATCCAGCTGATGTTGTGGTATTACGTGCAAGAGTGAGGTACTGACAAATATCTGGTATAAATGTCATGTACACTCACAATTTAAAAAACGTATGGAACTGCAATCTAAATGGAATTTGCTGAACCAGCAGAATCTCATTAGGAGCAGCTCCATTGTTGCAACATGTTGCCATAGTTGCCAATTAAAGTGAATATTTTCCTCTTTATATTTGGTCTGTGCACAGGATTTTTCCAGTAATAACCTGCAGCTCGTCCCTTTATCTGTTCAGTTTCATATGTTCAGTAAAAGGCTGCTGTTCTGATCACTGCTACACATCTATCTGAGACACATGTCCATGTTTGGTGTTAACTTGGTGTTCAACTGGCTCATCCAGCAGTGTAATAGTGTCATTAATCAAAGGATTCTCGATCGTGATTTCGTTTTGCATGAAGAAATACAACATTAACGCACGTTGTGATTGTCCAGACTCTATCTGAGCTGCATGCTGTGTGGGAGAACCGATCCGATCAGAGCTGCTGTGGATGAAAGTCTCGGTTCCTCCCTCCTCTGGCAGCCATTAATGTTGTGCGTTGTGCTGTGAAACTGGTCAGTCATTGGCTCAAATGTAGGCACAAGACACCTGATGTCAATGGAATGAAGAACTTCAGCTTCTTCCTTTATGTTTCTTCTCTAAAACCAAACACTTCAACAGTTTCTTAGTTGAGAGTTTAAGACATAAAACCTCCACATTGTTCGTGTTAATCAGCCTAACTTCAGGGTTTTAGTCTCTATCTTTATTCTCGCTCTCTGTCTGTCAGGAGTTTTCCAATCTGCATGCGCTGATTATTTTCTCTCCACTAAAACTGGTGGAAATCGCCGCCTGCGATGACTTTGAGCCTCAGGTCCAGATTAAATTAAGACTTTCATGCGGATTTCAGCTGCACTCGCTCTGCTGGTAAGTGACCCCTCAGACGATTTAGCAGCCAAGTAACTCGGTCTCACTTTATTAGGGATGATGGAGATTATGAGGGATGTCGGGGCTGATTCACGGCTCTGCTTTTGTCCTGCTGAGCTTTATATGACTGTGAAGTGACTAAATCCAATTGTGATATGCAAGTTTTATTAGCACTTAGATTACATTTTTTGGGGGGGTTTAATGTCGTCATTAAATAAAGATGTAAAAATACAAGCCCCCTGCTGAAACAACTCAATCCTAATTTTTATAATAAAGTCATAAACTTGCAGAATGTTGGATGAGAGCAGCTCTTGGAGGAGGTGGAAGGTTAGATTTAGCTTTTTGTGAAATCATCAGATTTTTATAAATATTACTGACAGATGTCCAAATAAAAGATTTAAGGCTAAATGCTTACTATTAGAGCCTCTCTTGGCTTTTATTAGGCTGCTTTTATATAAAGACATGTCATATTTCCATGTTTATCTTTTATTTAAAATTGACTGCATTGCTGTAAGTCGTTTCCTTTTTATTTTATTTAGGTGGAATTCTTCTTTCACATTGTTTTGTTGCCCCACTTTAAGGCTCACTGTCTGTCAAAGTAGCTTTTCTTTGGATGAAATAGTAAATACTACAATACTAATTCTTTATTATCCTGTGATGAGACCAGAACTGACACATTTCAACAACACCTGGTGACATTAAAGGGATCGTTTCAACCTCCTCCATTCTGTTGGTTCATCCCAACGATGCAGACATCCGCAGGCACTTGTTATTTCAGTATTTCAGGCCTGCAGCTTCTCAAACCGGGATGCTTCTTGTCCTCTTTGACTGCATGCTCCATGCACACTTCACACACACGACGCACAAACCTGAGAGTCCTGTTCATGCATTTTAACAGTTGCACTGATTTTTTTTCTGCCAGAGCCAAGAGCGCACTGTTAGTCTCTGGCAGAGTCTGAAACAGGAGCGCATGTCAGGCCTTGTGTGATGCGTACTGTACATCCTGAACCGACAGAGAAGGAACAATGTATTTAACCGCAGTTCAATGAAGCAGGGAAAGACTTACAGCTGTGGAGAGACCTCCCAGTGAACTTGACAGAAGCCCAGTGAAGTGAAGGATTGAACTAAGGTCGTATTGAGGGCAAACACACTGCATGGGTGAAATAAATTTTTAAAAAGTCCAGTTACATTGTGAGAAGTGCTCCTGAGCTGTACCTCCTTCCCTTTGTTGTTGCTAAACTGTGATCAAATGCATTATTTATCATCACAGATAATCCATCAATAACCACCAATAACACTTTGGACAACAGCAAATTCTCTTGGCTGACCCGGAGAAACACGCTTGTCCATGCATATGAACACACGTGCAGGTCTCCGAGTCTTACCTCTGGCCGTGGGTCGCCATGTCGAGGGCTCGTCGCACCGGCACCGGAGACCCTCCCTCCGTGACGCTCAGCACCTCCATGGACTTCCTCTCCGGCCTCCGCTTGCCGTGGCGGCTCAGCATGGGCGAGTCCACGCGCTTCCTGGGAGGGTCTGCTGAGCGGAGTCAGGGCGAGCCGAAGCCAAACCAGGGAAAACACAAGGACAAGGAGCCAGTCAGAAGGACAAATCACCAAAATTCAAGAAACGGCACCTTCTTTTGCAGTAACATAACAATAACTTGCAATAAGGTCGATGTAATACTTCATTTTAAGGGTGCAATGAATAATTTACGTACAAATACAATATATCAGCGGAGAGCCAAGCGTTCCAGTGAGCTAAACTATCTATTATACGGCCTGTGCATTTTTTTTGTCTAAACTCTGCATGAATTCTGGTGCAGCAGAAGGCGGAGGATGGAAAAAAATGAATATTAATGTGGAAATGGAATATGTAGATTTTATAGAAAATGTTTAATGAAATACATGCTAACTCCCTGCATGCAAGTGGAGGCTACCTATAAATATGCCCAGAACAAATACATGGGGGTGTAGTTTGGAAAAATTGAAGTATGCCAGAATTATGCATTGAAGTGCATTTGTTCTCAAGTCCTCTGAGCAAAATGCTGTGTCACTATGCTAACATACTGATGTTCAGCAGCTAAAGTTAACTGTAGTCACCATGTTACTGCCTTACAAAGCACATATTTAGCTAAACTTGGTTACCCGTCATCTGTTTTATTGTAATATATTGCCAGCATGCTTGTTGCACTGTGAAGAATAGAATATAGAAATATAGCTAACGACACAGTTAAAGTCAAAAAAAGACAGCTAAGTACACAGCTAATGTCATATACAGAGCTAACTATAGAGCTAAAGTCACGATAAGACAACTAATTACATAGCTAAAGTCACAGAAAGTCAGCTAACTATACTGCTAAAGTCATAAAAAGAGCCCGTTACCAAGCTAAAGTCAAGGACGAAGCTAACTACACAGCTAACTACTTCATAGAAAGAGCTAACCATACAGCTAAGGTATAGCATAAGCTAACCACACAGCTAAGGTCTGATGAGACAGCTGAGTTTAGTTCTGCTGAAATCCTTTTATGAAAAACATCCATTTTAATGAACTAGATCATTCAGTGTATTATCATTGCACATAATTATATAAGGTTGTGGCTAACTCAGTTTATGATGGTTCGGAAAAACAAAACAGCGACTAGTAGCTAGCATCCCATTTTTTGGACGAGTCATTTCATGCAGTTTGGTGATAAAGCTGCCTTTAATTCATACATTTAATTATATCAAACTGTATGTTGATGGGATATATTTATTTCAAAATAAAGATTGATAGCACTGGGATAAAAACACAACCACTAATACCTGATTCCTACATGTTACAGACTTAAATAATGATCAAATTTAAGTTAAATTTCTAAACTAAACTAGTTAAAATGTATAAAAAGCTAAGACAATGCAGTTTACAGTGTTACATGGAGGTTACCCAACAAAAGAGTGCATTGTTTATTGAGTTTGTGGAAATTTTGGTAGAATGATCAGCCCTAAAGACATAAAATGAAAGCATTACAAGTGTTATATTTGTTTTACACAAAACCAGGCAGCCTTTAAATCCATTTTCTCTACTTCAGTGCTTCTGTTAATGTCCTCTACCCCTGTAGGGCTCCTTAGTTTACTGTGTCATCATACCAACATTTGCTGATCAGCGGCAAACAGCTGTGAATCTCCAAAATGTTGCCAAAGTATTGGAGTAATGAAAATTTGATCCTACTGGGGTTCAGGCAATGACCAAAGTTATTAAAGTCCACCCTCTGGGCACCATGAATGTGTGTACAAAATATATTAGCTAATCATCCAGTGGCTGCTGAGATTTTTCTACGTGGTCAGAGGTGGAGATCAGCCGCCTACCGATCTCATTGCGTGGCGGCAGGTTCTGGTCCTCGTGGCTCGGATATCTCTCCTTGCGGTCCAGCAGCAGGAAGTAGATCATCTTCTCCTGGTTGTCACTGGAGAGAGAAGACAGCCGGAGAGATCGCCATCAGCCGAGTGGCCACCGGTTAAAAACAGTGCCAGAAGACGCTCCATCATCACGAGACATATTAAATAGAAGAATTCATCAAACTGACAATTTCTCAAGCAGTCTCATATTTCTCTGCCACCTCCCTCCATCCCCCCTTTCAATCTGCTTCCTGTGCGGTTTTTATTGCGTCCCACCACCCTTCCTCCCTCTGCACTTACTCCTCAGACAGCAGGTCTTTGGTCAGTTTCTCCTTGTCTCTGAAGCAGCCCAGAGAGTGCATGCTCTCCAGGACGTCCGGGTCGATCTCCTCGGCCGAAGCCAGCGTCCTGATGGCCACCTTCCTGGGGACGGGCTGCTCCGGCTCTGGCTCGTTCTTTCCAGCTCTGCAACACAGAACATATGACAAGCTGTCCTGCACACGCTGAATTGAAAAACTCCTCATACATTTGCTAAAATGCAGGCACATTCACATGCACCAGCAGCTAATATTTATTTTATTATCTCGTTGTTTGTTCCATAAAATGCCAGATAATGGCTACATCAAATGTCAATCAGTGTCCCCAAGGTCTAAAATCACACCCTCATGTGTCTTGTTTTGTCCACAACCCAAAGATATTCAGTTCACTGTACAGAGAGGAGGAATTAAACCTGAAACTAGTCACTTTTAAGAAGATGGAATCAGAAACTTCTAACTTTTTTTTGTCAAAAAATTACTCAACCCTCCTAATCGATCAATAGTTGGCAATGAATTTACAACAAATCAATCAATTGCACTTTTTTGTTGCTAAAACACTGAAACAAAATGTCTCGAGAGCATAAATTTCACACGCATAGATTGATATATCTAATAGAAGTTTAGTGGGAAAAAAATTGAATTTAACCATTTTTGTACAAAAAAATAAAGTTTGAGTTTATTTAGGTTAAAAAAGATTGAAACCAGTGGCTCCAAACTTGAGTATTCATCAAAAAAAGCTGGAGAAAAAAAAAGCTAAATCATGTTTACTGTTGCTTTAATGTTTCCTTCTGTTTACTTGTGAATTCCTGGACAGATTTCCCTCTTCAGACAGACGTTATTCTAACAAAACTGTGGAAATGTACTCTTTCTCATCTTCATTTATTTGAATGTTTTGTATTTTTTTTGTGGATCTTTATAAAAATTCCCATCATTAATAACAACATTGCAAGCTAACTACAGGACCTGCAGCTTTCTGTCTTGTAACACCAAGTCATCTTTGGTGAATATCGTCTTTTTGCTATTCATTTCAAAATATTGATCCCACCTGGGATAAACTGGAAGACAGAAACCTGTTACTGTCAAAAGACAAGCTTGACTGATGTGCATCACCTAGTAACAGGCCAAACATCAGTGTCTCGATATTCAAGTTGAACCCTGAGCGTAATTCTAATCAATAACAGATTTCGGCTTTTTGAAACCCAGAAACAGTAAATCCATTAGCGATCAGAGGTCCATTAGGACGACGGAGCATCACTGCGTAGCGAACAAAGCTCACGGACTCAAGACTAATGGACCTGCTTCTGCTCTGAGAGGTCTCCATCAGAGATTTCAGAAACTGCCTTTGATGATGTTGTTACTCTGCATTACTTGCAATGTTATTTTTCTTTCATCAGCTCACTTGTTGTGGACACGCAAACAAACACTCAGCACGGACAAACACAGGAAAGAAATGACCGGAGGATACTTACAGGTACCACGTATGCTTCTGGATCTGCTCTAACTGTAACAACAATCAGAGGAAACAAACATGAATGACTTCTGCTTGTACGTGAAACAAACAAACATGGCCGTGCTTGTTAGTGAAGAGACTTTCTGCAACGTTTGATGCATTTCTGCATGAAACAAGATGTCAGTGTTTGTTAGGGCTTCATTTCAGTAAGACAAGTCCTCACTGTATGTTTCTGTTTAACATTCACCTTGTGAAAGCACACATCTGGACATTAGAAACCTCTGTCACTTTAGATTATTTCTTTCTTTCTTTTGCAGATGTACAGCTAAAATACATGTTTTATTCTTTAAGATGAGCCCGTAAGGCAGCACTTCCTGTAAAACTGTACAAGGTGCAATCAAGAAGTTGAGCAACGACGTTTCTAAAAAGCTAAAACTGAACCTGATGTAAACATGGTGGCTATCTCCTTCAAAGTAGTCTTGCTGTGTAGTAATACACTGCTCTAAGTGCTCCTGCAATATTTGGAATGCCTCCTAGAAGTCCTGTTCTGAGACCATGTCAAGCACCATGTGGATCTAAACCATTGTGTCAAAACAGCAACACATCAACTTTGATTTTACTTTGTAGAGGTGGGAGAGGTTGCAGGGAGCCAAATCGGCTGAGTTGGGTGAGTGAACAACTGAGTTTTCAAAGCCTCGGTATGCGCCACAGATCAGGTCGTTTGCAGCGAATGTTCTTCCTCAGGATGATACAGTAGAAGTCAATGTTGACAGTCCAACACTGTGGGACTAATTAATGGTACACAACTCTGTGCATGTTAAAGAAAACGATGAGCACATTCTCGGTCACACTCTTCTCCTGGTGCGTGTTCTTCAGTCGAGGAGAAAGCAATCTCTTAAACTGAGGACATGTTTGGTCTCTGGATCACAGCTGAAGACCTCGTCACCTGTGATGATCCTTGACATGAAGGTTCGGTCAGTTTGACACAGAATACGATGTTTGGTCTCTTCATAAGTTTCAGGTCGATTGCAAAATCACAAATGTAGATCAAAAAACGGTCAGAAAGGGATGTCCAGAGAGTGTTTAAGGCGTGGCAGGAGCACTGGGAGTGGTTTGTCACTACTACTACTTTGCATTTTAATCTGGTGCAGCTTTTGCTTTTTATAGACTTCTTGATCGGACCACACATACAGAAACTACATCTTCAGTAGCAGGACTGGCTCGTTCAGACCTGGCTGCTTGATGAAAACATACAAACACAAGGTGAGATTCATTACCTTAAGAGTTTTTGTTATGTTAGAAAACTTTAAGAATGAGTTAGTTTAGCGTTTGACTGCCTCCCACATAACATGACAATCACAACGACTTGATCACTATCATCTTAAAAGTGTATTCTCTTGATTCAGCGCTGTACTGACGGAAGAATGTCAGACTACTGAACATTTTTTCAAGTAAAAAAATTAATTTTGCAGACGAAACAGTAAGTTATTATTGTCCTTTGTTGTCATAACCTGCTTTAAGCTTTAACTTCCCCAATCTTGACTGGCAGGACCTGCTGGGGAGGTAAAGCATCTCAGAGGAACTATTACCTGTGAGGCTAAACACAGGGAGAAAAATCCCTCAACCGTGACCGACTCCTTTTATTGTTGCCGGTGGTTGTTGGCCTCAGGATGAGGTGGATGAACAGGTGTCACCCCAAAACTTATCACCAGATTCAGTGGATGGGTTTCATAAATACACACCAGCTTAAAGAGACTAAATGTGAAGCTTTAAATGTAAATTCTATAATATGGGAGAAAAATCTGAGAGGCCTGCTGTCTGGTTTATAAGTAAGGAACTAAATAAAAGACAATTGTTGCACTGTAAAGCTTTTCTAAAATCATTAATTACAAAAAGAAAAAAAACCCTCCATGTACTAATGGTCATTTATGTTAATGAGGTGAAACAGTGGCTCAGTGGTTTTAGTCTCCAACCTCTGTGTTAACTGTGGATTTAGCATTTTTTATCCAAGTGTGATTGTAGATTTTCTCTGGCTGCTTTGGTTTACTCCCATCGGCCAAAGATTGTTAGATAAATAGAACTGCTTTTCAGTGAAATATTCATTATTTTAGTGATTTTTTGCTTACTTTTAGTCCTTTGTGTTGGTATAAGTGCCCTGCTTTATTGTAAAGTCCTTTGAAAAGTGTATTTATTTATTTTAATGTGTGAACGTGGCTGAAGTGTGAAGTCTTGACGTCCAGTCTGAAGGCTCATCAGAGTTGGTGTGATGCCAAAAACAACTGCTCAGGGTTCAAAACTGAAGTGGGAGCACATTATCTCATAGAACTTTAGTTATTTTTGTACCGTTTCTATTCTGAGCCAAAACAAATCTTTGGCCTGAGATGAAAAGATTGTATGCAGAGCTGAGTAGCTGCAGGGCCAGTCACAGTGCAGCGCTGCTAAATTTAGCCTGAGCAGTAACTGAAGGCAGAAGCCCAGACTCTAAAAACACAAACTATTGAAAGATATCAGGCCTGTTGTTCTGTAGGAGATCAGGCTGTAAGAAGATGTTTCTTGTGTGTGCTTGCAGCTCACCGTCAGCCTCTTGGTGGCGTCCACTTCAATCATCCCGCGCAGGAGGTTCTGACAGTCTGGAGGGATGAAGTGAGGCATGTGGAAAACTCCCAGCTTCACCTTCTCCAAAAGGTTCCTCAGGTTGTCGTCGTCGAAAGGCAGAGCGCCCTGAGAAGCAGCACAGGAGGCAACATGAGGAGGTGCACGACTTTATGGAGTTTTGCTGTTTTGTTGAGCTTCTTTCAGCTGCTGCTACCTCTAATAAACATGCATTTTACATGAAGGCTTCTCCATTTGCATACCAATAATATATCTGCTGTTTTATATTGTTTTAATTATTTACCTATTTTACCAATTTTAGTGCCTTTAAAAATGTTTATTACGCTTCTTATTCTTGCATTTTTATATGCACTTCCTTATATTTGGCACTTGTAAGTCTTTTAAATTAAGAGTCCATACTTTTATTGGTATTCTATTTACTTTATATGGAAATTACCTGTTTTGTTTTGTTGTGCCATTGCACTTCCATTTGTTTATGCTTGGGCTCAGTGCTGCTGATATTTATGCTCTCATGCTCCTTTACTTTGTATGTTTTACAGGAGCAGGGCAAACACGGGGCTCAGATTGTTTTTATCCTGTAAATCCTTTGTGCTCAAGCCTGCAATGTGCTACATAAATATGATAGCATTTTTGCTGACATACATGCACTAATGAATTGATCTTTGACTTTCATCAATAAAAATATTTTCTAAAAATGTAGAGACACAGCAAACACGCAAATTCCTTTTAAACTTTATGCAAACAGTTTTCAGCTACATCAGGATGTTTCCCCCAAAATGTCAGGAATTAAGTTTATCTTGGAAGAACCAACTAACTTCATGATATTTACTGATATTTTTTTAATTTTGGAGATAACTATGTTTCTCAGGTCTCAACAAATCTTCTTGGAGTTTTGACTCAGTGAAGGTTGACGCTGGAAACATTCTGATAAAATCAACTGCTGTTAACGTGAAAATAATTTAATAAGTAGTTTGGTCCTTTAATGCTTCACTCACAGGTTACATTATTATTTTACTGCTACCAAATTCAATAAGAAACCTTGTTTACTGCTGTTTTTCCACTGACTTTAATTCATGGGAAATTTGTATGTATTCTATAAAGGTTTCAGGCTAGTTTATACCTAATACTTAATCGTTAATTTCTTTTCTTTTGAATGTTTTACACATATTATTCTTTCTTTCTAGGCATTGGAGAGCCACAAAAATAAAGCTGCTTCACCATATAGAACATATTTATCAAACTGAACAGACACACAGCTCCACTTTTCCATAAATGTTAAGTTCTGTTTCAAAGATAAAATGGAAATCCTGATTTGGTTTTTAATCGCTTTGGGTACAAGTTCAACAATTCGCACAGAGAAAACCAGAGATGCACATCACTAACATCTTGCAAGATTTAGAACAACTTTCTATGAGTGCAGCTGTGGAATAAACACCATCATACTGCAGCACAGTCTGCTGAGTCAGACTGCTGGAATTTAGCATCGTGTGGCTTCACAGATCCGCGGACAGTTTGCTTTTCAGTAGCATTTGATGAGCGTTACGGGTCCCATTTAATGGTCCCACCTTCTGTAACTGTTAAACCGTTACTTTAGATGTAAGTGTTTTAACTTTTCTCCCTCTAAGTCCATTTTGGGTTTTACAATCTCACCTGCAGAATCTTTTTTTGTCACTTGTGCTAACAAAATATAATAAGTCATGAGTGTTGCAGCCTGTTGTTAAATGGAATTTACTGGAGAACAATCATACAGCAGCAGCTCTTTGGTGTTCTTCTATTCCCAGAAGATTCTGATATGACCTCGTGAACAGCTATTATTTCTCAAATACCCAAGAAGACTTTCCATGACACTCTCAGAGGGCTAAATCATTCTGACTGGGAGATCTGAAAACACAGCGCTGCCCTTTGAGCGGACCGCACAATACACGGCGCTGACATCCTCCTGTTGTCATGTAAATGTGCTGTCAGGTGTTCACCAGGAGATAATCTAGGTTTTGACAGAGAGGAGGGCTGCAGGCCGTTTGCTGAGAGATATCAGTCATCGGAGTCAGCGGTGATGAAGCAGTTTGAGTCTCCAGCTGGGAGCCGCTCAGTGACGTGATGACTGATACTCATGGAAACCGAGCGGGACGGAGCCAGATGGCCGCTGACACCGAGCTGGTAATCAAAACAACACGAGTGGAGAGATTTATCTTCGCATGATGACTGTGTCGTGTGCTCCGTCTTAATCAAGAGGAAAAGCACGCATGCGTTCACTCGGCGCACAAACAAACACAGTCATTTACTCCGACTGCTCACTCGTCACTGTGGTATTAAAGAGCCGCCGAAGACCTCCGACGTGTGACGACGCACAGCTGAGTCATTCAAACGATTTAAAGGGCAACGTTTTAAAAAGATAATTAAAAATCAAAAAGAGGCTAATCAATTAAGAAGTGACAAAAAACAACACATTTGTGCAAAAAAAAAAAAATCACAAATAATTGCAAAAATCTGGCAAGGTGCCACAAAAAACGGTGTAATGCTGTTATAGTCATAAACTGTAAAAAAATAATAAAAATAAATTAATTCAAAATATCTGTAAAATGATTGATTGAAAAACAGCAAAACTGTGTAATGTTTTTTACATTTCACTCGATATTAATTATAATTTAACATAATATGAGGAAAAAACTGTTAAAAAATTGAACTAAATAATAAAAACAGCATAAAAATAATAAATAAATATCTACCTTTTTTAATTCTTAAAATAATAATAAAAAATAATAAAAAATAATAATAAAAAAAACAAGAATATTTTTGTGGATTTCAATAGCTTCATTTTATGGTTAAATATTGTAAAATAATTTATCATTTGGAAAAAAAATACAGATTTTTGATGTGTACATTATTTACAGTTTGGGCTTGTTTTTTTAGGGTGAACATATACAGTAATGATTTTTCTAGTTGTGTACAGTGTAGTATGATTAGTATGATAACAACCAATAATATTAAACATTCAGCTGACTGTTGAAACATTTTCTTTTATTCATTTAACTGATGAAAACCTGGGAGAAAAGATTTAAAAGAACAAGTCTTTTTCCACTTTTATCACTGTTACTAATTTGTAGTTTGTGAATTTTCTTCCATAAACACTCATTTGTCGAATTAGTCAGTTTAGATCAGAACAGTAGGTTTTGATGAGTAGAAGAACTCCCTGTCATTTCATTTATGCTGCGGTTTCAATTCCTTTATCGACATCTCTTCCTTAATTTAATCTCAGCTGCTGTGAACCGCAGACAACAAGCACATCAGTCTTCGGCACCATTCTGTATTAACTTTTGTATTAACACTGCTGAGCTATTTGGACTTTAAGTGCTGCTGTCAGATGCTTTACTTTGTGTATCAACATTCCAGTGACCTTTCTCTTCATCTTCGATTTTCTGCTGGGAGCTTCACAAATAAAGAGCTCAACCAGCGGAAAGACTCGCCTCAGGAGCAAACTAAACCTCCTCCTCTCACCCCTTTTTCCTCCTGAAATACTGCATTAAAAACTGTAAAAAAACAACCAAAAACCAGGCGTGTGAACAGGTTGTTCTGCATCATGTTTCTGTACAAACAGACGAATGCAACAGCTGAACAGAGAAAACTTTTGCTTCTGTCACTTGTACTTCTTTTCTAAAGCTGTTTGAAGAAACTAATCTCAAGATTCAGGACATTTTAACCTTCAAGTAAGACACAAATCTAGTTTTCAGTGTAATTCAACTTAAAGATAGAATGTTTCACTCATAGTCACAATCAGAAATTTGTTGAATTAATTAAGGAAACTCCATGACAAATACTAAAAACAACCAAGAAACAGTCTTCGCTGAAATCTGACATCCCCCTTTTTTTTTTTTACCAAAGCCATTCATGCCTTCAAGCAACGTTTAATGATGGTTTTACAAGCAGCTCACGTCATTGTTCTCAACTGTTCCCCAAATAATACACGTTTAAAACGCAAAAAAAGCCCCTAAAAAGCACTTATTGTTGTTCTGACTGTATTTATACAATCCTTAATTTTTCATTTTGCTACACGATAAACATTTAAAGTTTAACAAGTTGTTTCTGATTCAGAAAAAGTTGGCAGCCCACATTCATCAGCTTCCTGATGAGTTAAATGGACCTGAAGTCTTTTTATTCTAAATGAAAACTCTGCTGTTTGCTGCACTCTTATAGTTTATTGCTGCTCTGTAGCACCACTAAAGTTGTATTTGTGGTCTAATGTCTGTTTTCAGCTCTGCTCCATCACAGAAGAGAAACACACCTTCAGTTCACTTTGTGTCTTTTTGACTGATTATCTGCTATCTAGCAACTGTTACATCTGGAAAATAGATGCTTTGGAGCTGCTGGAACCAGCTCAGTTAGCTCAGTAATGACAAGTAATTTAATGACTGATGTCTCTAAAGGTCATAAAGTCAGACTGCAGGGTTCAGGTCAGACACTTTAGCTGCTCAACAGAAGGTGAATTTAGCTGAAAGCATTAACAGCAGTTTCACAATTGAATAGGATCAATTTGGAGATACTATCTCAAAAAATGTTCGTTTTGTGCTTCTTGTGTTGTTCTGAGTCTCGTAATACTAATTTTCGACGTTTTTATGTCTCATTTTAGTGATAAAGACGATGTTTGTCTCATTTAGATTTTAATTTCGGTTGCTTTGTGTTTTATTTTATGTGTCTTTGTATCATCCTGTGTCTGTTTGTGGTCATTCTGGATCTCATTTTGATCATTTTGTGGCTGATTTTGGTTATTTTTATGTCCCTCATTGGACATTTTGTGTCTCTTTGTGGTTATTTTGCATCGCTCTGTTTTCCTTTGTTGTAATTCCTTATCAGATTTTGGTTGTTTTAAGTCGCATTTGTGTCATTTGTGTCATTTGTGTCATTCAAAGTATCTTTGCAATTGTTTTGGATCTCATTTTGGTCATTTTATGTCTCATATTGGCTGTTTTATGTCTATCCATGTTCATTATTCATCTCTCATGGTGATTTTTTTTCTTCTTCTTTTCTAATTTTAGTTGTTTGCGTCCCATTTGTGTTTCTTTGTATTTCGTATCTCACTTTGGTCATTTTGACTCTTATTTGTCTTTCTGTGGCAGTTTTTCACCTCTTTGCTTTTCTTTATTGACATTTTTCATCAAATGCTGGTTGTTTTATGTCTTATTTGTGTAACTTTGTATAATTTAAACTTTCTCGGACATTGTTTTGCATGTTTTTCCTATGTTTTCTCTTCATTTTGGTCAATTGTGTCTCATGCTAGTCATCGTATGTCTTATATTCATCATCTTGTGTCTCATACAGTTCATTCTGAGTCATATTTTGTGTCTTTTTGTATCATTCAAAGTCTTGTTACAATCATTTTACGTCTAATTACGATCATTTTATGTCTCATATTGTTCACTCATTTCAGTTGCTCTATGTCTATGTAATTTGTGTCACTTCCTGTGATGCTTGCAGGTCCAGCGCCCCCCCTCCCTGCACCCAGAAGTTCAGTAATCCATCCATATCTGGTAGCGCAATTCCACGATAGAGATTTCATCACGCTAACATTCAGCTCACACGGTGTAGATCCTGTTTTCCTCTTTAAAAAAATCATTTTAAAAGCCCAACATCTAGTCTGTCTTTTCTTTAACCAACGTCAGCTCGTTACAGCAGCAGCCGTCACTCACCACTAAAAGTGCAAACAGGATGACTCCACAGCTCCACGCATCTGCTTTCCTGCCGTCATACTTCTCCCCCTGATGCACGCAGACACAAACACAGAGGGGAGATATTAAAACATGTGAAACATTCATCCTGAGTTTAATTTCCAAGCTGCAAAACACCACAACCGCTCTGCGCTTCGACGTCTATGTGATCATTCTCAGGGTAACATCAGCAGTTTGTGATGCACTTCTTTGGTGAACTCAGGTGTTTCCTGTGTTTTCCAAAATCTTTTACAATATATAAATGAAGATTTGGACTGTGAGGACCTCAGATGTCCAGCTGCTGCTGAATTGCTTGAATATTTTCTTACTTATTACTCTTCAACAACTATAATTTCAAATGTCCATTCATAATAACATGAAAAACATCTTGTTATAGCAATAAATTTAACATTATAACATGTTTTTCTTCCTCTAGTGTGGCAGTAATACGCTCCTGTGAGGAAGTCCTTCTGTGAGTTGTGTACATTAGATGAAGAGAAGAAAAAAGCACATAGGTTTGGTCACGAAGAAAAATGGCAACAAAACGAGCCGAGACAGACGCCACAAAAAGCTGAAATGCTAAGTGTGTTCTTCAGGGAGGAAGGAGGCAGGACGGGAAAAAAGGGGAGCAGAGTGAAAGCAGAGAGGATGATGTAAGAGCCACTCTGTTCAGCTGCTATTACTGTATGAAAGAAAGAAAGGCAGAGAGAGCACTTACCCTGATAACCTCTGGGCAGGCGTAGTGCGGAGATCTGAAAGAGGCCAACAGGCGGTTATTGTAGTGGAGACAACACAACGCTACACACAACCTGAGGAGGAAGCGAGCAGGTGAAGGAGGTGACACGAGGCTCTCTGAAGACATACAAACCGCTCCAGTGCAAGAATCCTTGAAAATAACAACAATAAAATAAACTTTTATTGCCTTATGGATTATTTTTTTTTGTCAGCTAAGTGAGTATTACATAACGTGAAATGGCCTCAATCCAAATTCCTGTGACGGTGGCTCATCCTGTTGAATAACATATGACAGCAGCCAATAGTGACACCGCAATGTGACACACTTACAGCCGGCATAAAGGGACGTACCGGAGTTTTTCACCATTTTTGCTGCGAGCTGCCTTCTTTTAGGGGTTTTATTTGCTGCTGCAGCCAGTGAATTACACTTAAAACACAAGTGTGGGGAGGTGGATTCAAAACGATTCATTTTGTTTCAAACAAAATGGTATTAATTAGAAAAAACATATATTTTATGTACATGTGGTGCAGTCAGTTGAAGTAAAAACAACAGTTGTCGTTGACTTTAATTATTTATAAAGCAACAGCACCACTTGTAAATATTTTAATTTGTATAAGTTGTCATCCATTTTTAAACGATGCAGCCTATAGTTGTTGTTAACAAGCAACTTGTCTCATTTTATAATACTGTAGGGTCTCAGCTATATTATTACTTTACTTAGTTTATCCTCTATAATTAATAACACTGTTGGGTCTCAGCCTTATTATGTACTAAAGGCAGGTAAAGGAGTATTTTATATCGTTTTTGTCTTGTTGTATTCCCTAATATGTAAATTACTCTGGTAAAATCACACCATAAGTAGATACTGGCACTGAAATATTCACGATAGTATTATATGTACATCATTAACATGTTTTTTTGTTTGTTTGTTTTTTTAATCATAGTTTGTTTGTTTTTTAAATATAACAGTTATTGTCAATAATGGACGAGTCTCAACCAACAGGCATACTGCAGCCACCCCTGCATGAGGCAGATTTCCCACAGATAGAAGCTAATCAAGACATAAATGCAAATGCTGTTACTGATATTTGAAAAACAAACAGTCACCAAATAAAGCAGTGCAGCAGCTGCAGTCAACGTCCCCATAGAAAAAATGTTTAAAATAAAAATAACTTCATAGTGAGTAAAATCAAAAAGTCAGTGGTTCACTGTGTAAACTGACCGTGTTTGTTCTTCTGTTAGGTTGTAGCTGCTCTCTGCAGATGCTGCTGTGTTCAAATTCAGCCACATGTCAGTATTACCGCTGTTAACGTCAGCTAACCTCCTTCAGCATTTCAAATTTTCTGGTAATACTATTTAGGTTTAGCTGTGACTTTCTAGTTATATATCTACATGAGGCCAAGGTTTTATTGAATCAAATGTCCCACATCCAGTGTGTGAACTACACCACGGCTTTCAGGGATGCTCACTTTTTTATGGTCTGAAACAACAGATATAACCTTTATTTACAATTTTTCTCATTAATAAGAGTCTGAATAAAAACAATAATACTAAAACTGATGAAAAGTAGCTGCCTGCCTGTCATGTTTTACTGCGGCTGGCATCTAGAATGCTTGTTTTTGTTCCCATCTTAGTGAGGGAAGTTTATGATTTTGCACTGACGCTTCGACGGCGATGTCAAGAACAGCCGGCACATCTTAAGTTAATTAGTGATGAATCACCCCCTGCATGAATCATACATTAGAAATAGTGTTACTGTACACATGAGCCATGATGGTGAAGATGTAGAAACATAAAAATGCATAGCAAAGATAGACCACTGTCAGTGTTTTTTTTTTCCCTCAGAATTTCTTAAATCAGGTTTTCTGAGGAGCTCATGATTTATTAAAAAGATTAAAGTTCCCCCTGACTCCCTGCAGTTCACTTCCTGCTCACATGCCAGTGATCCTGCACTGGGACTGTATGTACTGAAATGTCTATAACTTACAAGGATGCATTAGCACTGAGTAAACACAATTACTGGCAGTCAAGAAGAGCAGATTAGTTTAGCAGCTGGAAAAAAATATTGAGAAAAGTTTCGGTAAACTCAGCGTCTTCTGAATAATCCCACACGTACAGCAGAGGTCTGGTCTTCCTCCGCGTGGATTCATCAAAACAAACGAAGCAGAGAGCACGACTCTCCTCACGGAAACTCCCAGAGTAAACACTCTCTCCATCTTCTTCATACTTAATTATGCTAATGTATGTAAAAGCAGCCGATCTGCTCAAACACAGTCGTGTCACAATAAACTAACTGCAATTAAATTACAGCCGAGCAAATCTTCATCCTTCCTGCTGATGTGCATTTAATGAATTCCATCGTATGAAGTGAAAGACTTGTTTGACATATTACTCATGAAGGATATTTAAAGTAAAATCCATCAGCAGCTCTTCATACAAACTCATGTATGGAAGAGTAATCCGGCAGACCCTGACATGGACACTGTTTATCTGCCGTCACGTCGCGTCACTATGAAACTATTAGCAGATGCTGCTAAACAAACATCACGTTCTCATGACTGAGATCAGTCCAAACGTGCACTCTGCTAGCTCACTTTTTACATCAGAAACATTTTGAGAACATAGAAAAAGATGCTGGATAAAAAACTAATAAGTACAGACATGGTTTTGTTGCACAGATATTACACTAACACATGCACAAAACATTTATGTGCACTCTTTAATCGAAATTTAATACATTCTGTAGTTTTTTATTTATAAATTTTGATGAGTAATTCATTAAATTAGAAAATTAAAACAATGTGTAACTTTAATTTAAGAAAAAATAAATGCAGAACACACGTTTTTAGGGATTTACAAACAGATTGCCTCTAATATCTGCTGCGTCACATTTTCAACACATTGCTACTAAGCATCAGGCCCAGTTCAACAACAAAATGACTTGTACGACTACAGACACCTAGAAGTGATTGTTATCCACCATGAAGTGATTATCTCCCAGTTTACATACATCTACATGTACAGCTGCTTTTACCGAGATCAAAGAGTCAGAAACCTGCAAGTACACAGAACTTTATGTCAGTGTTGATGGCAAAGATTTGTCTCTGTGAAAGTTTGACAAAATAATAAAAGCAAATAATGAAAATAATAGGAACTGTAACTAAGTCATGAAAGCCAAAGTAGTGTTTACAGTTTATAGTTTAATCAGGCAGGATATTTACTGATAACACGCAAGACTTAAGAATTTAAGTTTTTATGCATTTACTACGTCTAATATACTTGTTTAGGCCGCCTGTACTTCAACACTAGAGTGTAGTTAACCTGATTTACAGTTGGGTTGTACATGAAATAATACGGGTAATCACAATGAAACAGTTTGCTATGATGAACAGATGATGCTGGAACACAGCAGACAAAAGTTGTAAACTTTTAGCAAACTGTTTCTTTTCAGCAACAGTTTGCTTTATGACTCCGAACCTCCAGACTCCAGCTTCCAGCCAGAGACAGTGAACGCAACACCTGTACTGACATTTGACCTGAAGTTTCTACAAATTTAACACCGTACTTCACTGTATAGACAAGTTGGCGGTATTTTTCGGTGGCAGTAAACGCTACACTTAAGACAGTTGGGATAACTTCGTCTGGAGTCTTTGTGATGACTTTGCTGCCGGTAACTGTTGCCTCTGTGATCTGCCTCAGCTTCTGCAGCTGTGTTGTTGCTGCTGGTGTTCGACTTCAGCCTCCCCAAACGTTTTTTTCTAAATCCTTGTAAGGATGCTTAGATTAGAAGCAAAGCCTGCAGACTGAGTTTGTCCTGCTACAGTTAGAGGCACCAAATGCAGCTGCACAGACATTTCTGATTGTTGTTTTATGCCGTTTTGCAGGATGGCAGAGCTCCTACTCACTGTTCACAAATGAATGACAACTTGTTTGTCATTTAAATTTCAACTGAAAGTGCAAAACGTTAAACCGAGGGAGCAAAATATTAAAATGAAATTGAACAATATTAAACTGTGGGTGCAAAATATTAAACTGAAGTTGCAAAATGTTAAACTTAAGGTGCAAAATTTTTAATTGAAGCTGCCTAACATGAAACTGAAGGTGAAAAATATTGAATTGAAGTTGCAAAAAATTAAACTGAGGGTGCAAATTATTAAACCGAAATTGCAAAAACATTGAACTGTGGATACAAAATGGTAAACTGAAAGTACAAAATATTTAATTAAAGGTGAAAAATATTCAATTGAAGCTGCAAAATATTAAACTGAGGGTGTAAAATGTTAATCTGAGGTTGCAAGACATGCTTTTGCACAGAATTGTAGTGTTCATATCATCTTTCAATCCAGCAGTTGCTCATCTAAGAATATTAGTAAAAATACTAAACGTAGTCGTACCAGCAATTCATCAAAACTTAGCAACTTGAAAAGTGTGTTAACTAAACCTACTGATGATGCAGAAGTCTCAGAAGAAAAGGTTAAAAGGTGTAGTTAAAGTGTACCAAAGCAGTTTTATCTCACAACGCACCGCTACCTGCATCGTTTCAATGATAATGAGGACTTTGCTCTTGTTTTCCTGTCTTGCTTTGTGCAGCATTAGAGCCGGAGGAGTCGGGTTTTAGCCGTTCCACATGGCAGACTCTGTGAACCACCGGTCGGCCTGCGGTTAACACAGTGGACCAGACCGCCTTCTGCAGAGCTTTCTAAAGCCTGCACAAATGAAAGGTTTCTGTTGTCTCTGGAGCCACAACCACTTTTCAAAATACCGCTGTGGATTTAGTGTGACAAAGAAATGTTGCTGTTTCCTAATGGCACAGAGCAATGCAGGAGGAATTAAACTCTTTGTGCCCTTCAGGGGTTTTATATCTGGGAACAAACGGCTGGAGTGGTGAGTCAAAAGGGGATTTAAAAAAAAAAAAAAGGTGAAAAACAAAGAGAGAGCAGAGGTTTACAGAAGTAATAAAAAGCATTTAGCCTGGAATATGTTTAGAAAACTAATATACACAAAGCTTAAAGAGCTTTTATGGTCTACGTACTGCATCTATTGCTCTGTTTACATGTACATCTTCAAAAGCAAAGTTTCAGGGACTTACAACTCAAAGTGTTGGATGTTCAACTTGAGTGCAAAGACTTGAGATTTACTTAAAGCGACTGAGACACTCACCCACAGCTGGTCTCCAGCAGACTGTCCCCGACCTGCAGAGACGCCATGCCGAAGTCTGCTATCCTGATGTTGTTCTTCTCGTCTAACAACAAGTTCTCGGGCTTCAAATCTCTGTGGCTGAAGGACGACAGGAGAGGAAACACAGAAAAAAAGAGACTGAGATGCTGAACAGTGATCTTTACATTTACACCTGTTATAGTCTTTTTGCTATCTTAACCGTGTCTACTGTTGAAGTAAAGACGCTCACAGATTCACTTTCACGGTCTACCTTAGATTTGACCTGGGATATGTATCAGTCCTAAAAGCAAGAATTCTTCGATGGTAAAGTCGACCTGATTGCAATCATCACTAACTGAAAGACTGCAGGTGTAAAGGAGTGTCAAGCAAACAACAAAATCTACACTTTTTACTCAGAATAATTGATCTGTATTCTCCAGGTTGACTGGTTAATATGGCTTCATTGACCAAATTCTCATTGGTTGGACAATCGCTGGTGTTAGTTTCATTATGAGAAAACCACTTAATCAACAAGCCTCCAGGATTAATCCATTGTTTTTGGCAGCAGGAGAAACAGATTGTACATGAAGACCCCCATGTTTCTACAACTTTAAACTAACCCAACCTTATGGAGGCTGCTGGCTTCAACTCCTCTAACATTTAGTCTGCTATCATTTCAGTATAAAATAACCAGGATGAAACGAAGCAACATGCTGCATATACTATCGTTTATTGCTGATTTATAATTCAATACGGTTAATAAGGCGAGCAGGTGAAGGGAATCAGCGTACTGTGGCCTGTTTTTCCTTACAACCAACCAGCTGGTCGACAATTTCAGTCGACCAAGATCTTCTTAGATTACAAGTCGTGATACCAGGAGATAAAAAGCTCAATTCCAATGTCTCCCTGTGTTGTCTAGAAAACACACACAGTGCAGAATAAATCTAATCCTTCAAAGCTAAACACTTGATGTCTAATGCTGAGAGTCAGAAGCAGAACGTCTTTGATGTGCAATTGCTCTTCGATACGTGGTGTTGCAGCCACGAGTGGAGGAACTAAAGGTGCTCCCGGAGATGAAAAGAGATCAAGAGGAGCTGGAGCCCTGAAAGTCGCCCCTAGCAACAGCTGATGAGGGGAGAGGCTGAAGAGGAAACCTGTTGTTCAGTCAGCTAAGACTTCAGTGCTTTTAGGAATGATGACAATGTCGTATAAAACTCTTAGAATAGAAACCACTGGAGGATTATTATTATTTTTTATTTTTAAATATATTTTTTGGCTTTATTTTCAAGCAGTAGAGATAGACAGGAAAGAGGGGAGAAGAATGGGGAGAGATCTGCAGCAAAGAGTTGTGAATGGGAGTCAAACCCACGACCGCTGCATCAGGGAGCTATAGACCCTGTTCATGGGACGCCCGCTCGACGAGGTGAGCTATAGGGGCGCCCTGGAGGATTATTTTTGATCAGTTTCTCTCTGTAGAGTATTTTTTTGTCCTCTGTGGGGGTTCTTTACTCAACCCAAAGTAAATACTCTCAGTGGGGCACAGCTGAATAATTAGACTAGTAAACTTCTGCAATGAATCAAAGCTGACGTCACCAATAAACAGCTCATCACTGTTAGTTGACGTGTTCTTGATCTTTCTTCACACCAACTTACAGATGTGGCTGGTGTGCTATTTCCTCACTAGCAACTGTTAGTTTTAACCAAAGCAACTTAACAATGAACGTTAACGAGGACAGCAAACATCAGCCTAATGCTGGAGAAATCAAGGCAGATGAGGAAGGTTCAGATAAACAATACATGTTGGTCATGTGGGTGAACTTTGGCTTCAGGAAACACGACAGAATAACATCTTGTGCACATCTGAGAAAAGTGACAGCAGGAAATTCAATGCCATAAAAAATGCATCTTGGATGTAAATTTGAATGCTAAAATTGCTTAATTTGGTAACTATCTCTGTAGAAAAAGCTAATTCCAGCAATATTAACAAGATTTGTCCTCCACAAGGATGTTTTTGGTGCCCATGAAAGAGGCTTAAGCAGGCGAGAAGGTAAAATCACCAGCAACAAAATGATAAGAATTGAGAAAAAGTTGCCTATTTGTCGATTGGGCTTTCATGTACTCAAGCGTAACAAACATTTTTGTTGATAAAATGGTCGGAAATAACAGGAAAATGCACAGATTTATGTAGGATAAGGAAAGGCAAAACCAAAAATGCTTACTGTCATACATAGTCACTCCTCAAATCTCTATTTTGAGCAGGAAAAAAAATATTTTAGCCATTTAAAACAAAAGAAAAACTGTAATTTTATTGTTCATTTCAGCATATGAAGTGAACTAGTGAGTGTAATTCTGTAAAAAGGGTAAAAATGGTGGATACAGAAAAGAGCTGGAGTTTATAGTCAAAAAAATAAAAAAATCTAAAATCAAAGTGTTCTGAGGACTTTAATGTTAAATAAATGCTACTTGGGGCCTGAATCTGTAATTTTCTATTCATTGTTACGTGGAAATCATTTAAAAATGTCTAATTCGAAGATAGATTTTTTTTGCTCATTTAAAAAAATAATCATTAACTAACCCATTAAGTTAAGTGTTGCAATTAATCGTGGTATTGATTTCAGGTGATGTCGTCCTGTGCAGAGTATTGCTTCACTATTGTTCAATCTGGTTAATGCCGTCGTGTCCGTTACGCTTTCATTCTACCAGATTTTCACTGGTTGGACAATCGTCCATGTTATTTTAGGATCACCAGTCATTCAGGAATAGTCCACTGTATTTGATGGCTGGAGGAACAGATTACCTGTGAACACCCCCACGTTTTCACAACTTTGAACTGGTCCAACCTAAAGGAGACAGCCTGGTCTGACTTCTTTAACATTACTTGAATGTTTACTCGGAGTCGGCTCCAAACTCACCGACATCATGTCAAATAAGTCGTCGGTGTGGCTGCACTTTGTTTAAACAGATGGTAAACTTTACAAAAAACAGTTTGCATATCACAGCTCAGCAACCAACATGGAGGATTACATAAAAACAGTTGTACAGCCTGAAATTGAGTGGAGTATTTACTCTGACTACACATGTAAAAGCCAAAAGTACCTCTCAATAAAATCTGATTTAATGCGCTGGGCTGAGAAGCAGTGTGTAACAAAAGAAAGTGCTCTCTGCTGCTGAAGTATTTCTGTTTATCCCACAAGAGGAAACCTGTCTGTGTGGAAATCAGGCTTGTAGCGAATAACTAATGTGGAAAATTTTTGGTTAAACTTGGTCTTAACATATTCCTTTACCGTGATACATAAACCGCAGGAGGCCACTGAGGGAAACTTTGGTGTTGGGTTTTTTTTTTGCTACCCCTCAATGCTGTTGCCAAAGTGTTCTCATCGTCTAAACTGTGTGTCTGTTGGTCTCTAACACTGTTTCGACTCCAGGCTCCCTCTGAGTCTGATTAACCGGCGCTGCTACAGACGCAGTTTCTTTTGCTGCAGTGGTCAGTCAGCAGTGATAAATCAGGTGCAGTGGCTACTTGTGTAAATTTCCATTCTCCCCTCTCCCACATTTTGCACCTCTAGACAGAAACACACAGTGTAGGAGCCTGCAATTTTCAGCTGTGAGTCAATTTTCTGTTTTAGCTGAACAGAATCTTGAATGTGGAGCGAAGAGAGAAAGAAGGTCTAAATCAGCAGGAAAAATCCAGCTATGTGTTTCTGAAGTGACACGTTAAGTTAAAGAAAGCAGTTTTGGAATGAATGCAACTGAAAAGCAACCAAATCCTACAACCGTATGAAAATGCAACATGCTGACTAAGACATGGGCTGCAGGGTGGCGCAGTTGGTAGCACTGTTGCCTCGCAGCAAGAAGGTTGCCGGTTCGCGTCCCGGAGTTTGCATGTTCTCCCTGTGCAGCATGGGTTCTCCGGCTTCCTCCCACAAGTCCAAAAACATGTTAAGGTTAATTGGTAATTCTAAATTGTCTGTAGGTGTGAGTGTGCTTGGTTATCTTTCTCTAAGTGTAGCCCTGTGATAGACTGGTGACCTGTCCAGGATGTCCCCTGCCTTCACCCCATGTTGGCTGGGATAGACTCCAGCCCCCCCACGACCCTAGTGAGGATTAAGCGGTGTATAGATAATGGATAATGGATGACTAAGACATGATGCAAACCGACTGAAAAAAAACAATATAAGATCTCTGTCAGTCTGTGATCTAGTGACCAACCATATGGAGTGGCTGTGGCAGAAGTCCAGGGCTGAGATGATCTGTCTGAAGAACTTTCTGGCCTCTTTAGGTGTTAACCGGCCCTTCTTCACCAGGTAGTCGAAAAGCTCCCCGCCGGACACATGCTCTAGCACCAGGTACCTGCACAGGTAGACAGACGGAGGAGGTTAGCGCGACAGCAAAACTTCTCAAATCCTAAATTACCAGTAAAATGTCAGTAGTAGCAATAAAAATCCTGCTTGTATGAGAAGCAAAAGTACAAACTGAATCATTTGTGAAACGTTGTTTTCACTTTAGGGCTGCATTTTCCATGAAAAAACACATTTTGCTCAGTTTCTTGCTGTAATGAGGAACTGCTGACATTGTTAAGACGTTTCCTCTTAATTATAAAACACCGGTTTACAAAGAGGTGATTAAAAAGTTCCAGGATAAGAAGCATACTTGCCGTTTTCTTAAACATTTGTAAGGTTTTTGCACTGGGAATTTGTCCCAACGGGGTCTTTTTGTCAGCTTCGAAATAATGCAATTGTTGAGAGGTGATTGAATTTTGAATTATTTATTTCAGAGATATTGAATTTCTGTTTTATACTGTAAAATGAACTGCGGAATACTAAATAAATAAATACTTGGAACGTATATAGAGCCATCGGATAATGAAATAAAGTAAAAAGTAAGATTATTTTCCTCTGAAATGTCACAGGGGGGGAAAAAAAGGCAGAAAATATCCCAGAATGACTCAAGCAAAGACCTGCTCTTGGGTAAATGTGGCTACTTCCCACCTGTGAGTCCATACAAATTAAACAGATTCATCAAAAGAAATCCTGTTTCATTTTTCCTCCAAATGAAAGAGGCATTAATGAAATAATTGAGTCATAAACTACAGAGTATTTCTGGGCGACGTGTTGAAGTCACCACAGTACATCCATGCTCTACATAAATCCCTGAGAAAATCCCCCAGCTCGCGTGGGTTTGTGTGCTCGTGGTTTAAAATGTTTTATCAGCGTCCTCCGTTCATTTGTCTCGGAGACATCGCTGATCCTCGCCCGCCGTTGGAGAACCGGCTCCTCCCGCCGCCCGTCTTCCCCGCGGCCTGATTTATTAGCAGATTAAGGGATCTGTTCAAGCGTTTACCTGTCAGAGCTATTTAAATTAGAAACACGCTCGGCTGTGATTTGTGAGCGCCGGAGTTCCTACGGCAAACTGTTTGCATCCATGATGACCGTCCGCCGCTGTCCTTGCAACATTAGGAAAACAAATTCCTGCTCCATTTGACAGCAGCGCCTTTATCAATTATTGAAAAGCACATTAAGCCGTGCCACTGGAGCACATACACGAGATTAATGTATACAATAAAACATGGATATACACGAAAGCTGCAGTCGCAGGGGACAGGTTAAGGTGACGGGACCAAAGAAACCTTTCATGTAACGGTACAATGCAGTTTGCAGTTTAGCATCTACAGCAATATTCAGATTTTGGTTTTCATCTTCATACAATTACTCTGTAAGTCTTTAAAGATCAGCTCAAACCTCTGTGGGCTTTTTTTAATCTGAAGAGTGGTGCTGATTTTGGTCTGCAAGGTAGTTGTGTTGAGGTACATCGTTTTTACTGCATAAAATAAATTTTTGCTGCCACACAAATATGGTTTAAAATAGCACCAAATTCATAAGATTGAGAGTTTTTTAACATTTTACGAGATTCCCCATGTAAAAAAGCGATGCACCATTATCTACATTTTTAATTGCGAATATTTAAAAACAGATGAAATGAGAAATGAAAATCAAATCAAAACATTACAAACCCAGTTAAATGTGCAGGGTAAGTGTTAGTGATTTCTGACAAATGATTTTTTACGATGCATAGTTGTCAAAAACAATGTCAGTTGTAAAGAAATCTCAAATAAATCCCGAAATTCTTGAGCTTGCACCAGTGAAGTAAGCTCTACAGTCATGAGTGCCTTAACAAAATGAATCCTACCAAGGGTTGCCATTGGTTACAAATGTTTCCAGCTCCGTGGTTTTAGTACCAAAGGTCCAAAAAGGTGTATTAGATTCAGCTAGTTCCCTATTTTAAACAATTATGAGGAACATGTGACAAGTTTTCCACTCAGGAGCAGGCAGCCAGTTAGCCTAGCATGCTAACATTAATGTAATTGTAGCAGCAGCTCATGAACATGAGCTCAGCATTCAGGTTAACATCTAAATAACACAGTGTGCTCTAAAAACACCTGCTGGAAATCTTTTGATAGAAATTTGACATTATTTTTGTTACATACAGATGTTGCACAAATCACACCAAACATTTACCATCACTGGTGAACGTCAATAAAGGCGGGAAATGTCACTGCAGGAAGACTGGATTTCTTAAAAATCACAAGTATTTGTGGTAAATCAAACCGTAAATAATTAAAGTTTTTATTCAAAGTAAAGTTGATATCAGAACTATATATACTGTTCAGCATTTTTTGTAAACATTTTAACGGAATTTATTTTCCTTTAATGAGTTAATATATAAGTAAAGACTCTGGTCCAACAGCAGATGTCAGATACTTGTGTCCTTTTTATACAGTTCAAACGCACACAGAAAAACAGTCATATTAATTTCTCTGGTGCAGCATCAATGCTTTTAGATGTGTGTATTTAAAAGACTGTGTCTAGTATGAATATATATTTTACATATACAACAACCGGTGCAATATCTGTAGAATCTGTGCAATATCAATGTTTTCTATACTAGAATTATCTTCTATCCCACATTCATAGGATTCTGTATAAAATCTGAATTTCTACATATTGAAGAAGCTGTACAAAATCAGCGGTACTACCTGCATGTTGCTCGCTGTTTTGTATTTCTCTAATGATGTGCCAACATCCTTGCACTGTCCCCTTTGCTGCTGTAACACTACAAATCCTCCCACTGTGGGATTGATAGAGGCTTTTCTTTATTTTATCTTACACCGTAAATGTTTGGACAGTTACACATTTTTCTTAATGCATATTTGTGCAATTACTTTTGCACACTTAAACCTTGTCCATCATGTACTAAACGGTCTGAACTTCCTAAACACCACTTTCTAAACTGATGTGACCCTCCTCAAATTAAAGCTGAGACTTCACACTTTAATTCAGAACCATTGTTTTTCTTCACACTGAACGAGTTGAAGCACTGAGCCTGAGTAATTATATTTCCTGTGTGGTAAACTTTCCAAAAATAAAGCTGCATTTTAAGCCTCAAGCGAAAACAGACGATGTAGTCAGTGAGACAGTGAGAATGAAGCATTCGAATGAACACTTGGGGAAATGTACTCACAGGTATTTCTTGTTTTCGTAGACGTCATGCAGCTTTAAAACGTGGGGATGCTCTATGAGTTTCAGAATGGCTATCTCCCGCTCCACCTGCAGGGAAACACAAAAAACACACAATTAGTCACAAAACGTAGAGTCATGCAGTTTAATGTTAATCTCATTTAGAAAATAATGAGGCTCAAGTCAGAAAGTGCAACCTGGAAACACACACACACACAAAGTGTATTTGTTATATTTTATCACGTTAATCAAACCCCGTGGCCCTGAAGGCGTTCATTTTGTTTGGTGCTTGCTGAAACAAAAACTCACGCACTTAACCTTTAGATTTGGTTCACTTGTTAGGCTCCCTGCTTTGTTACTGAGACGCTGTTGTGTTGAGAGTGTGACGCTTTTATTAAAGCACAAATATGTTCCGCCTGGATCTTCAAAAAGTGAAAAAAAAAAATCAAAGCCAATGCAAATGACTTCTCATAGCAACCTGTTAGGAGGAGAGCAGCAGCGTTGACCACAAAACGCCAAATAAACAACCTCCAGAGAAATAATAAGCTCATAGCATGAAGCCAACGCAGACAAACATCCAGTTTATACACACCGCATGTTGTGTGTGTGTGTGTGTGCATATTCAGCGAGCGGAGGTTTCATTTGGATATTGAATATATATTTCACCCTGCCTCCAACACTTTATTTCCTGCATTCTGGTGGATCTTTATGCACATATTTGTTGCTTTTCTGCATCATTTCATGGTGGAAATATAAAAGAAAAACACTAAATTCAGGCACATATAAAATACAATGATACATATATGGATCTAATTACATTTTCCACAATATAGTCTATAGTTTTATGAGCTCATGTTGCATATTTTGTGAGTAAACTAAGACCCAATGTTGAGGGAAGAAAAGACTTTTCTCTGCAGTGGAATATAACTGAGTATATACACACCAGTATTTTAACTTGAGGTACAATTTTAAGGCATTTCTGTTTTTTAGAGGCTTGCTTTTATATCTATATTTTATTCATATTTATTGCTTTTATTTTGTATTTTATTTTTTATTTTTTTGCATGTGTTGCATGAAGGGTATGTAAAGCATCATTCTTTAATAAAAAATATAAATAATAATACATAATAAAAAATAGCAATGACAGGTTGCACTCTGATGCTTTTGAGAAGATTTGTTTTTGATTGTTTTCTGTCGGAGAAATCTCATTATTTTAAACATTTACACAGCAATCTGTAAAACTTCAACAAAAAGCTCACTCATCAGCAACATTTTAAATTGTTTACATTTCAACCCTTATTTCCTTGCTGTCACTGATCCTCTGGTTGTTTTGTCAAGTCTGATTCAGTCCGTGAGCTTTAAATCAACTTTCAACTCTGACATTTAATACCAATGACTGAGATGTAACAAAGACCACAGTTTACATACGTGTCATACATTAGTGACACAGGAGATATAAATATCCACATCTGGTCTCACAGTCATGACAAAGACACCAGATCTGCTGTTGGACAGTTTCTCTGATGACAGATGTTTCTACTTTGATTTATGTGAACTGTAGGAGGCACCCAGTTCCACAGTGACTTATATTTATAACACAGAACTGGGTCTACATGCAGCTTTGTAAGAAATTATGACAAATGACAAATGATACATGTCTATTTCTTTGTCTCCTTTATTAAACTGTATTGCACACGCCGCTTATTATTGTCTGTATATTGTTTATATTGTCAGAATTACATTCTATGTATATTGTCTATATCCTGTTTATATTCTACTCTCTTTTCTATTTCTTTCTTTTTTTTTTTTGTTGTTGCTATTTTTATACTTTTTTAAATCCCTTTGTTTTAATGTTCATTTTGCACGTGGGGCATTGGAGTATTGCAATTTCAGTTCTCTGCATGTTGCACATATGGCAAAACTGACAATAAAGCTGACTTGACTTGGTGCACAAACAGAGGTGTAGTATTGAATCAAAAAGTTTTATACACTTGGCTCCAGATGTTGTCATTCTGTCTCTGAAAAAGTCTCATAAGTTGTAGTATTTTGCAAATGTATTAGTGTTCCTGGGGTATGAGAAGTATTTAGATCCTTTACTAAAGTAAAAGTACCAACACAGCAAAGTAAAACTACTGCTTTACAAGTACAATAGCAGCAAAACATAGTTAAAACATTAAAGTCAAACTCCTGGTTTGGTCCATCTGACTAATGTATTATTATATGTGATAATCTAATGACTGTCACATACAAAAATACATTATTATACGTGACAATCATTAGATGATTATTAGTGAAGCATCATTGTGTCAGCAGCAGGTTAATGTAGCTGCTGTAGGTCTGAACCACTATACATCTAGTTTTGTATACAGGGACAGGAGAGAAATGTGAGGGATCGTCACATGATTAGTGGAAGAACAAAGAAGAAAAAACTAAATCCTGAGACACAAACCTGTTCTCAGCTTTTCTCTTTGATTTTTGCTGAGACATTGGATCATTAGAACACTTATTGAAATGAAACCATGTGAGAAGTTTAGAGGGAAAAACAACTGGAGCTGTTGACAACTTATAGACATTTGAAACGTGACTGATTTCACACTGTTTTATATAGGAAGCAAAAACAAAAACAAAAAAAAGGTCAGAAAGCACTGGTTTGATGTTGTATTTCAAAAACCTGTTTTATTATTCATTGTTTAAAATCTTCATCTAAAGAAGCTGCTGGATGAACATACATCTTTTGGTCATATGTTTGCTGCATTTTGGAACAGAGAAATAATACGTCACTGTGTGATTGACTGATTCTCTGCACCACTGGTGAAGCTCACATTAATGCTCCTGTGATGAGACACTGTACAGTCTGAGTGCAGCAGCCACCTGCCTGACTTCACTGCTCACAGGGACACTGTTATTTCTGCACTGCGTCAATATGTGACGCTGCACAGCAGGATCAGTGCCATCTACCAAACGTCATCATACAGACATCCTCCAGTCCTCGTCTTAACCGTCCAGTTCCAACATTAGAGCATGCAAGGACAAATATTAAAAAACACTCATTTGAATTCTGTCCAGAGGATTTAGGTTTTGTTTTATTGTGTTTCTCCTTACCAAAGTATTGTACTGGAGCGTTACAATAAAAAGACCAAAACCAACAATGAATGCATCCCATTCAAGAGCCAGGCTTATTCTGCTTTTTGAGCTTCTCACTGTCCTTCAGGATGTTACGTAGCTGCTTTTCTGTGCATGAAAAAGGTCTGCAAATGTATAAAGTCCACACCAAAGGGAGGTTTTTCTTTTTCTCTCCCACAGAAAACACTGATCCTAACCTGCATGAAACACCTGCATGAAGTCTTTTCTTCTGTTATTTAATCTACATCACCATCGAACAGATTTCCACACAGTCTCTACAAAACTACGCTCCTCACTGACTTGAATGCGTTCTGAATTGTTTTAAAAGACATATTTTCTGTCACATTGGGGGGGGGGTTTGTATTGTAATGCAAATGCCTATATGTGGCATTTATTTTGTTGCTTTACTGTCACTCCTTTTCAGCCAATTCATAATATACTAGATGGAGTGGGACCCGTTGTCCTGGTAACCCTTGGTAAGGCTCATAATTTAACCAAAATTGTGACTTTTATTCAAACCCTAACCAAGCCATTTTGGTGCCTAAACTTAACCAAGCTTCTCACATGTAAAAGTGTCGATGGAAGTGTGATATTTTCCTAAACCTAACCGAAGTGAAATCTACCAGTAAACAAAGACTAAAGTCTGAGACTGATTCTCTGTCATCCATCGTGGGACACAAACTCTAGTCTCCTGGGTAAAAGTCTGGCCTCTGTTTTATGCCTCCATCCTCTCCTCCTACCTCCTAATGTGGATTTTGTTGCTCTTCCAAACTGGCCGTCTTCCCTTTATCAAATTAAGTTTCTTTCTAAGCAAAATTACTTTCCCTTCAAAATGTGATTGAGTGTGCAGTTTAGCTAGGAACGTGCAGGAATGCAGTCTTGTGGAGATGGGACTGCACATTTGCATAATGCCTTTTTAGTTTGGCCACGAACTCAAACAAATAACGAGCAGCTGCCTCGTAGTCTGCTATTATTTCCCCGCTAGGGTTCAAAAACATGCTTACAAAATCCATGCGTTTAAGTGGTTCACAGGAAAAAAAAAACCTGTGTGTGGTGTAGTTTAGATCAGCTCATCTGTCTGTGGCATCCAAACAGACATTTAGTTAAACCATCACATGTGATCGGGCCACATTAAATACGAAGTCTTCATCAATTCAAGTCGTTCACTCAGTTACGTATCTACGTCACCAAGCAACACATTTGTGTAACGCCTGTGTGGCAGCTAGTTCGATCCTCAAACAACAAATTAGCAGTGATTAGTTCCTCATCCCTGTACTCATAGACCTGGAGTTACCAACTAATGTTACCTCAGTTTATTCGGATCAGCTGACCAATCAGAGCAGGACGGGGGTCTTAAAGAGACAGGAGCTAAAACTAAGAAGTCCAGACAGAGGTGCTGCAGTAATAAACAGTATGAGAACAATAAAGCATGTAAAGATTTTCTACTAGACCCCAGAAATAAAGTTATCAACCTGTAAATATGCACTATAACGGCTCTTTAGCAAGCACTGTGTGTATTCAAAGCTTATTCTGTAGATAGCAAGTTGCTGTTTTTAGCCTAATTGTTAATCACACCTTTGAGCTCCACTGTTTCAATTTAGGTCAGTTCAGCTTTTCTCATTATGTTTTTCCACAGTGCCACTGGGCTCCATTGCGTTACTAAAAACACACAACTGAGTCACACTACGAGCTACGACTAGTAGACACAAAATTGGTGTTGACCTTCTGAACCAAAAAAGCCCACTGGTTGGTTTGAAATAAGTTACACCACTTATCAGAGCAGATCAGTGTTTGGGCTCAACTGCAGGCTGTGATAGGTGACAACTATGGAGACAAATAAAAAAATGCAAGTAATTAAATATCTATAACATGCAGACCCCTGTTTTTTTCCCAGTGTTGGTAACACCTGTAGGCACTTGGAAAAACTTTGTAAATGTCGACTCCAGGTTAATTTAACTTTTGCTTAT